GAAATCCGTTCGTAATAAGGAAGTCATGCTGAATTCTAAGATGGAAGAGAGGTGGAAGGTGAGGTGAGGCAGTCAGTCTCTTCTGCTGCCGTGGAGAGGTGACATACCTAAAGTGCTTAGGGGAGGAGGGACTCCACATTAGGACCGCCGCCATAACTGGCTAGTCATTTTTTTTGGCTTCAAACATAATGCCAGTTTTTTGTAAAACGAGCTCTTTATACTTGATAAAAGCTTAAAAAGGATAAAGTTTTTGGCGTTAATCAATCCCGTCTGAGGGATGCGCCCCGCACTCGACTTCCATTCAGAATCGTATTGGCTTGAAGAGTGCGTATGTGGCCAATACAATGACTTGCGGTGGCCAGCCGATATACAAGTCAGTGCTTTTATCCTCTCAGACGAGTTTGGTACCAATTAACCGACCCTGAAGGGATGGAAGGTTGGTTGGCCTAGGTGGGTATCGATCCGGGATTCGAACCCCTGACCGTATGTGTGATATAGTGAGCCACTTACCACTACACCACCTCCGCCCTTTATACACGATATTTATTTTATTTATTTAGGACCGTAGGACAAAATAACTCATTCCTGGATTATTCATTACAAATATCATTGGTTAATTTAGTTATTGGATTAATCAAATCATCTTAGTACTAAAGAGGTAAGGCATAAACCATCCCGCAGCCACCATGCCAAGCAATTTTCACTTCGATTCGATTTTATCTCATTCGACTGATCGAACAGCTCCTGATTTGGCTTGCAGCACTGTCAGACCACAAATGAGCCCTTATGAAAGTGTAGGTGAAGCAGCCGCCAAAGTAAGGTAGATAATAACAAATCTCAGACAGCATCCGAACCCACAAGTCACTAAGTGATGGATGCTGTTATTCCGTTTTTCCCACATCCAACGATTGGCACACCTGAGGAAAAAAGATTGATGAAGAACGTAGTGCAGCAGCAGTCAAGAGTGCCTCCCCGTGATTGTAAATTTCCCGTCAAGTGATTCATGCGGTTTTTTTGTGTATCAATGACGCAAACGATTTCCGAAAGTACTTAAAGTGAGGAGAATGCTTTTTGTCAGAAAGCCGCCTCAATAACCTTTCGTGGTGAGTTCGGTGCCAAAATCGAAGCTTACTTGAAAGCTTGTCTGTGTCTTTCACCTAAATATTCCCTCAGAACAACTACCAAGCTACTGTTTCCAAGCCATAATGATGACAAGTAACCCAAGGTTCTCTGCTCTTCGTTTTGCTGCTTTGATAAATCGGGTGATGATTGAGGAGAAACGCTTTTTTTGTATGAGTGTCTCCAAGCACTGCTATGTACGAGCATATGAAGAACTTCATCGGTACTTCCGATTGAAGCCTTCAGAATTACCTTGAGAATTTCCTGATTCGGTTTTGGTCAATGTGGGAGCCTCCCACCAAATGAGGTGAGGGCAGTGGGACATTTGAAAGTAAAGTATATGTGTGGAAGTTGGAAAGGGATGGACGAGCAGAGGTATGTTGTGCTCTTCTGCCCGCCCTCCTCGCCTCCTTCCCGCGAACCTCCGAGCCGAGCAGCTGTCTTCCCACACCAAGCAAAAGCGATGTAATCATCATGCGCACCACAGCACACTTACATCACATCTTTTCTCAGTCCAACTTGCTTCTGTTCATCTTTTCTTCCGAGAATCTTTTCATTCCTTCGCATATTCTTTAACTGCAAGGGTTTTCAGATATTTTTTTATCACTGAGTGGCCCCCTTCATGATCGGAAGTTCGCCACCACCAAAGAAGTTTCAGTTAAAGGTAGGCATCCCTCTCCTTTATCGTAACCATTTGTTTTGGATTTTTCTCAGTTTTACTCAAAGTGTAGCCCCTCAGGTAACAAAATGTAAACAGCTGAAGCTGAAAGGTGCTCAGGTGGTTGGGACAGCTGTTAAAAATGTAGTTTACATTCTTGAAATTCTCTATCAACATGCTGATAGAGGAGAGTATCTCTCTATTCCTGCAGCCTGCCAATGTTGTTTATAGTAAATGCCAGCTGTTTCGATCGATCACCAAATGTTCAGCAGTTGCTCGCCATCGCATTTTGGGCTCCTTGCTGCTTCCGTTCGTATGATGTCCATGTGTGTAGATAAAGTTGTTTCAGCTGAGAGAGATGATGCTACAAATTCGTTTCGCTCGCAAACGATTACGAAAGGCAAAGTCGGAACTGATTTCCATATGGCTCTACAAGTACAAGAAATGTATTTCGAAACTAAAAAAGCGCCTCTGTCACTCAAGTCAGGGAGAACAGGAACGGCGGATGACTCAGGCCAAGCTTCAGCCCCTTCCTGGTTAGTTCACTTTTCTCTGACTACCACGTCTGTCACTTTGGCGCTGCCTGGAAGTGCAGTTATATTAGGATGCATAGTGAGTTCACTTTACGAGTCGCCTCCCCGCAATGACGTCATTAGTGAGAATGACGACCCAAACGATGGCGGCGGCTAATATCCGTCCAGGTGGAGCTTTTCGAATCGTTTCAGATCGCCCGATTCGCCGAGTGGCATCGAAACTGAGCAGGAAACCAACAAACGAAATCGAACGCCTGAGACGAAAAGGGGACCGGTGGACTGCAAATGATCTGTTTCGTTTCCAATATAGCGACCCAGAGGATGGTACTTCGGAGGAGCGAAGAGAGCTCTGCTATGAATGGCTGGATCGACTTCACGCTCTTCAAAAGAAGTACTGCTATCTAGCATGGTGAGTGCTGCTTTATTCAATAGCCTTGGAGAGATTAGCATCAGTTTCCTGATATAGTGAATGTTTTGAGGTATGAGGCAGCAATTTATGCCTGCTATTATCGACTAGGCCCAATTATAATGGATCCGGAAGAGAAACGACGGATTTGGACGGATATGAAGAGGGAGTATGCGGAAATATTCCTGATGGGCCGTAGAATCTGGCGACGTGCAAGCCATCCTAGCCGATTGCGAGTCTTCTATAATCTGGCCACGTTGTGTGTTCGATTCGGCGACATGGAGGTGAGCTGTCTGGCTTTCCAAACTCTCTTTGCATGGTCATATCGAGTAGATGGTTTAGGGCGATTCAACCAGTGAGCTCTTTCGCGAGGCTCTCGCTGATGGCGATAATTTCGACTACCATTTACTGGACGAGACACAGTTCGCCAAGTCGGTTGACAAGGTTGGTTGGTTCACCCATTCATGGTAACATTCGAAGTAGATGCCCACCATTTTCCAGATTACTTCGCTCGAGAACCACGTGATCGATCAATTCTACATACGCAGACGATCATCCGGCTCATTTCGATCGAGCTTCCGTTCGAAGCGGTCTATCGAACGCACTCCGTCAGGGAAATCAACAAAATCTCAAGGTGCTGAATCTTTGCCGGAGCGTCCAACAACGCCCAGCAGCCCTCTTCCTTCTTCCACTGCCCGACCACAAGATTCCTCTTCGGATCACCCCGTAAACAATATTACACGATCGGTAGATAACCTGGCTCTGAAACTCTCCACGCCAGGTGATCCATCCATTTCACTCAAGAATTCACCAATGACCTTGAGTGGAGCTGCTCAACAAGTTAACGATGTGGGGTCTGCAACAGCTCCACACCGAACCGTTCATTTCAGCGATGAAGAGGGGTCGGATGTCGAGGTTTGAACTGGCGGGTCTCCTGGACCTCATTATTCGTAACGGGTAACAGACTGCTTTCAGGATTCTTTTCACATTGTTACCAATGTTTCGATTTCGATATTTCTTCCTTCTTTTTGTTAAGATTTTTTGCTTGTGATTACAGCACGGTTTTATAGGTTATTTATTTGTCATACCTTCTAGTCCGAGGCCTTTTAATGTTTCTCACTTGGTGACTGCATTGTATCGAATCTTTCACAGTATTTTGCTCATTTATATCGCGATGTATTTGGAATTCAAGACGATTTCTTATAGATTTATGTATTTCAATGTAACGATAGCAGCAGGAAGGACAAGGGGTCGTGCCTGCTGTATCGTCGACAGCTTATGTCGACAAACAATTTTTTGCTCAAGTCATAAAGAAGTCACTCATTCTGTGATGTCGTCCAACTTTTTAATAGACAACTGGAGGGTTGTCCCAGATGTTTCTTTACACTTTCTTCATTATGAAATATTTTATATTATTTTTATTATTTATTTCAATAAGAGGGATAATCCAGTCAGTACTGTACTTTCCGACATGCCCACTGCTTTGATTGGCCAATTCGCTCGATTTTATTCCTATCAACACGAGTTATGACCAACTGTGAAGTGAACGAGCAGAATGATGGAATTTTTTTCGCTTTGTTTTCGCCATTTGTTATAGCGCATTAAAAGAGGTGTAGTCAGGCTAACAGTCCTCGTGAAGTCCCGAAAGCCCAGCCCAGTCCCGAAAGCCCAGCCTTAATTCTTAGCTCGCTTTCGCCGTCCAACTGTAAAAAAGTAAGGTGATGAATGATTGAATAATTAGTGAGGCGTCACTCATGGTTATTTTCAGAAGTAAAAAAGAATCAACAGTAATTAGTAATGGATAACAAAAATCAATAATAGGTGGTGTAATGGCAAAAGGCGCACTATCTCACAATCATGGTCACGTGTTCGAATCCTCGATCGATATCCGCCTAGGCCAACCGAGCCTTCCATCCCTCCGGGTTCGGTTTATTGATGCCAGATTAGTCTGTGAGGATAAAAGCACTGGTCTGTAGATCAGCTGGTCACCTCTCATTGTATAGGCCACATACGCATTCAATACGCCACTACCATTCTGAATGGAAGGCAGGGCGCTGGGGTGCATACCTCAGACGGGCCTGATCAACCCCAAAAGACTTTGAGAGACTTTAATTGAGGAGACTGGTAATGAAGAATCTGCTGGGCTTTTTCCAACCATCAAGCCAGCGTCCTACAAGCCAGGAAAAAATGTGGGACGTGCAAACAGTTCAGAAGTGTAACTAGGAGTACAATATTTCAAGCCCTCCTCAACAGACTTAATCTTTTGTATTGAATAGGTATGGCAAAGGTTGACGAAAAGTGGAATAAATAAGTAACAGCCTTGCAATGGCTTCATGCTTTTGAACGCTCTTATACATAGGTGGTGTAATGACAAAGGCGCACTATCTCACAATCATGATCACGTGTTCGAATCCTCGATCGATATCCGTCTAGGCCAACCGAATTTACAAAGCATCGAAAGTCAAGTAGATAAACTAGGTCGTCGTCGTAGTCTTCAAGTGGTACTGATCCTCCATGAGACTTCTGGTCATTGCTCTGTATCAATCTCTCAAATCTTCTCTGTGATGCGATATCCGAGATGGTTTGATGGGTGACTGTCAGCTGAGGATTTCGGCACCTAATGGTAAACATGAACTGCGCACTTTTGAGGCTCTCGTCACTGGAGAGAGAGAGTAGAGACAGGGTTTTCTGCCTTACTGTCGGCTCGCGCCAACACCCACAGTTCCACCAGGATTTATATCTTCGGTCAGAGGTAGAACCATTTAAAGTGCGTATATTAGCTGGAATATGATAGCATGGAAGGATACTGTCCTCTTTTTCCGGTAGCTTTTAGATGTCTGTTACACCTTTACAGGAAACTTTTTCGAAGGAGCGATCAATAGCACTATTGTGCGAAGTGGAACCGCCACTAGAGCAAATAGTTAACATTAAGAAGTACATGACATTGGCAAATACTGCATGTGAGAAACATAAAACCATCTATTATCCTGTCTTACACCTCGAAACCGTCTTTCGCTCAAAAAAGTAGAGGTCTTTCACAATATGAGATGTTTTGCTGAGTCAACTGGTCTTGAAGTTAGTGATTTTCCCATACAGGAGAGTCGTTTACCGACTTATCGTTATCAAACAAAAGTTATTTTTTTCACTTCAAGGGCAAAGTTTTTGTACGTTGATCAATCCCGTCTGGGGATGCGCCCCTGCATTCGACTTCCATTCAGGAGCGTAGTGGCGTAATCAATGTGTATGTGACCTATACAATAACTTGCGGTGGTCAGCCGATGTACAAGTCAGTGCCTTTATCCTCCTAGACGAGTCTAATACTAATTAACCGACCTCGTAGGATGGAAGGTTTGGTTGGCCTCGCGGAAATCGATCCGTATTACGATATTCGAACTCTGGACTACTGCACCACCCCGCCCATCTTTTCCACTTATTAAAAAAAATGACTAAAGTCTCGAGGTAGGCGAGATTACTTGTGATCAGGAAATGGATTTGTGCTCGAACTATGAGAAGGGTAAGGAGTTTTTCGAAATTTTCTTAAATCAGATCTATCTTGCTCGAGGTGTTCTGAGGTATCCAAGTGTTCTGGCATAGAACTTGACTATCTAATAAGAATCTTGCCAATAGTGTGTCTTGAATGCTAGGCTATAGCATTTGGTACACGTGTGAGCTTGAAATTGAAGTGATGTTCTCACGACTACGAACAGAAACTGACCGTCTCGATCGGGAGTGCAATTCGCAGCTGAATAGCTGAATTTCCGACAGACCTCTTTCGATTCTTCTTTCGATGAGTTCTTTGAAAACCAAGTTCCTAGATCTCCATTCGAACTATTCATATCTAAGGATAACTACCTTTTCGCCTACTCTCGAGATTTCCGACTCGCATATGCTATTGAATATCATTCCTCCAGCCTCCGCGAATGCCTCAATATCTAGACTCCTTGGCTGTGCAATTTCCGCTTTTCTTATCAGCAGTTAGCACATGAAGGCTTTAATGTTCTAATGTAGAGGAACGAAGTTGAAAATAAGTGCACAGCAAAGTCCATTCCATTACGTACTTTCGAGGAACTTTGCCAATCTGTTCTGGTGCCAAGCCATTTTGTTCCGAATAGATGTTATCTTGCTTAATCGTCAGATTGCAGCTAAGCAATTAGAGCACTTTTCGCGAGTTTCTTAGATGCGCTTTTGGCTAAAGTTCCAAAGGAACGTCTTTTGACGAACTCCAAGAATCTTAGAAGCAGTTCTAGACTTGAGAGGTAAAGTTCGAAGCCCAATTCGGGTTTGAAAAAGCGAATGGCTTTGCTCTCCATCCTGAATCCCCGCAGACCATCCCATAACATTTTTGCTGAAAACGCTGACTGGAATAGGCCTCTTCAGTTATTTCCCTGGAAGTGTTCAAAGACTACAATGGCAAGCCTGAGCTCCTGAGGTCCGAAAGGGTTAGCCGACTAACTTTGGAAGCTATTCTTTGCCATTTTTGCCAATATTGATGGCATGGTAGCATTATGGCATCCTGGCTTAAAAGTTGCTTTTATTGGGGGAAAAGGATATCTTCCACTGCTAGCATTTGAAAAGACATAATCACTAGATAGCTACACCATGAAAGACTAACTCCTGAACCTGCAAGAGATGGGCAAGATAGAAAAATAGCTTGCTGAAAGTCTCAGTGGCGAGTCTGGGTAAAGAAAGAGGTTGAAAGGCATGAAAGAATGTCACGTTTTAGCTACTTCAGCAGATACGACAACGTATGCGGCAGGAACTGCAGAAAAAGAACTACTGCTTGAACCTACAAGAAATGTGGCGAAAGGATGAAGAAAGGTTTTGAGCAAGAGGAGACACAAGTGTGTTTCATGGTGAAAAAGCCAAGCGAAATACACACGATGCCAAGTCAAAGCTGTTTGCATCTTCGAAAAAGCTTCTCAGCTGAGTATGGGGGAGACGGGCGTTAGGAACGATTTTGGGTAATCGATTTGCCGCACGCGGCTGTCGCGGACCACTCATTCGCCGTTATTACAGCTCTAGCGTACTTCATACAGCTCAATCGATATGCGATCATTATTTTATGCATAATTCTACTATGAGTACTTTTGTTCTTGTATTTCTTACCTACTGCTGCATCTTGCTACATTCGTTCGCGCGCGGCGCCCCTCTCACCGCGACGCGACCATTTCGTTCCTAACGCTCCACACCCAGTTCATGGTCCTTGCAGCGATTTCGTAACCGCCACTTCGTCATTCTACATATATATGGAACAGCAGCTAAAGTAAAATGGCATTTTAGTGTTTAGTCAGAACATATTTTAACGGCTTTTATATATACCAGTCGGATCGCCCAGCTAACGCTGGGCTCTCCTCCTTCTTATGTAATGCCCGGCTACGCCGGGCATCCTGCTTCTTATGTAGTAGGGACAAAGATTGGTACAAACAAACAGGGATTTATTTTCGATGTATATAACATGAAACTGTTTCATTCTAATAACGACTTCCTCGGATAGTGCTTGGTCAGGGGATGATACAGAAAGTCGCTAAGGAAGCATACCAATCTAGGGCCTCCGGAAAAAGAAAGCAATTCCAGAGAGCACTGTCCGATCTGAAAAGAGTGGAGCTTGCTTTCTCGGATAGTGCTTGGTTAGGGAATGCTCCATGCCATCAGGGGTTGCCCATAACATAACATCGTCATCTCCATCTGGCGAACCCCGTCCACTCCAGGGATTCGGCCATTCTCCCCCTGATACCTCCAGCCACTTCTTTCCCGTTTCTAGGACGTTTTTGAATAGACTCATAAATATTCGATTTTGGCCTCGCCACCNGCCCTATGCCCAACCCTCCCAAACTCTCAGACTTGACCCGACTTATGCAGGTGCTTCCTAAGGTAATATCGAATTTCTGTACATTGAACGAACAAACAAACAATCAGCTGTCGTATAGATTTTGCCTAAGTTCCAAATTTGGAAAACCTTCATCTAGCTACTGAAGTGTTATGGAGTGGATAGTTCTTTGGAGTGCGCATCTGTGAGCAAAATCTACATTTAAAATTAGAGATTTCGATCAGATTAGTTTTCTAGTGATTTCTATCTGCAGAAAAATACTCGTCTAGTCTGGAAAATAGGTTAAATGCAAAGATTCGGTAAAAATTATTCGTTAGCAGAAGGTTTTTTTGCCCAATAAGCCTAACCTCTCTCCTCCCTCAGTTGGCTGCGAACCGATAGTTGAATCGTCCATAGTATAGGGATTTAGCATGACAGTGAATAGTCAGGAGAACGCTTTTTACGGCCGCTCCCACTGAAGTTTGTAACGCAATGAGGGATCACGATTCTTCTTCGCTTCGATATCACTTTTGGCAAGGCTTATTCGACCGCTAATGATCTTAGATCCTCATATAATGAAATATATGTATCCGCTTCATTGATAACGCATTTAATCATTTGCCTACGTGACTTTTGCTCGGACGCACAAACGGGCATACAAACGGACACACAAAGTTAGCGGTTTATATATATCATAGATAGGTGCATTAAGTAGAAATACGAGGCTCGAAAATGATGACTGGCAGCCGGGAGCATTTCAACTCAAAAAACGGCCCTAGCATGTGTTTCAGGCTCCACATGAGGGAAGCAGATAATGTGATAGAAACAGAGAGGTTTAAGTAGAACAGATTCCAAGAAAATTCAGGAAACGGGGAGTAAAAGGACTGCTTCCTGCACCACGTCATGCATCCGTCACGTCTAAAACTACCCTGCAAGTGTATAAGGGTGTATAAGATTGCAGAAGCCACAGCAATGGGTAAAATGCTGGTAGATCGTGAAGCGCGCTGAGATGGTAGTCGACTGAGTTTTTTTCTATTCTAGGATTCCTAAAGCATCTACTCGCAACAAGTACTTTGAACTCTCTACTTTGGAATCACGGCGCAAGGTATTCGACTACGCATAGTTTACAAGCTATTGTACCAAGTAATATATTTGATTCTTCTGATCTCCATAATATGGCTCAATCCCGAACCAGAGGCGGTCAGACCACAATAAATCTCCCTAGGCCCAGAACCAGTATAAGAGCCAGAAGTTTAACATTCAGGGCGGCTAGCCTCTACAAAAAGGTAACAAAAAACATGATCGCTCCGGATTCCTTGTCTATGTTCAAACCCACTGTGACAGTAATTTTATCCGAGTATGAGTTTTTATTGTTCCTTGGGGTTGACCATTTCTTCTTCCACACCTTTGTTTAATATTTAACCATGGAGTCACACTATTTTCCTTATTTTAAGTGTGCCGATTTGTACGATTACGTTTTATCTACACGTCCCCCTTGTATTTGCTCCGCTATTTAAGTTGGTTCCAGAAGATTGGTATCATTTTTACACTACGTTTGCCTTAGCAGCATAATAAACATAACATGACATGACCGCATTTTTTGCCAGCATTCCTGGGTATATCAAATGAAACAGATCCTTCAATTAAGCCTCTTCTGGCATTCTTTTAGTATCTCATACGAACAGCTCACAGTCGAAGCTTCAGATCTCCCCATCAAGTCTACTGTCTCAAGTTCTTCTGTGAAACTCCTCGCACTGCATCAGAAGGTTTTTTGAGGATATTTTGGATTCTCAGGGTAATAAATACAGACACGACGTCATGGTGGTGTTCCAGAAGTACACCTATCCCTGTGGTGGTACTTTTTCGAACCACATACGGGAGTTTTTGCGAAGCAAGCATGATTCAAGCAAGCAAGGACATTTTACTGTTCTGTAGGCTGATTGTGAGTTGATTAGCTTCTTCCTCCTAGCGGAGAAACTTCCCGGTTGAAAATAGCGGTTTCACTTCTGTTGCGCATTAAATTGTCAATGCATAGAGCTTACACAAAGAATACCTTTCGAATAATTTATTTTGCAAAGAAGTAAATTGCACCAACCCGTTATCAGGACCCCAATATGCCGTCTTTGGTCAAAACAATGTTGGGTAGCTTTCATGAGTGCTATGTGACTACTACCCTTCCTCAGCTACAAATATCGCCTAGATAGTTGGATGGAATTCAAAAGGAATCATAGCCATTTCACACAGTACTCTCAGGTGATGTATAAAGGCATTCTTGAGCGATGATATTCTTTTGCTTCCTTTCGTCAAGGAGTCCCTGCCTGGGATTTTCCCGCCTACTAAACGATTTCGACGACTTCTTCTTCTGAATCGGAGACTAGGATCAGCGGCCGCTGTGGAGGTGGGTATAAAGCGTAGATAGCTATAGAGATCACCACTAAAATGACTCCTGTCATTAGCGATAAGCTGAAGTTCCGTTCTCCCAGGCAGATTGAAATGACAGCCGTAAGTCCTGAATGGGAGCGTTTGCTTACAAATGTGTCTCACAAGAGAAAATGTCGTCAAGGAGTACTACCTATCGCCAATGTTTGGCAGTACGTTTTCTTAATGTTGTCTGCGTATTTCATCACTGCTGAAACCACAATACCACTTGTAGCGGCTGCGATGGTCATTGTCCAAACCAAAGACGTCCATCCTTGGAAAAGCCCTTCTATAATCATTCCTTTTAAAATTAGAATAATTGCTAAAATGCTGCTTTTGTAAGCTCACTTTCCATAATTTTCGAGCCATCCGACGACCACATTGTGAAGGTTGCGAAGACGAGCGTCATTAGGCTGAGGCGAATATTTTGAATCCACATGTTACTGTTCACATTTTTCAGCATCTTCTCGAAATAGACTCCTAAATAAGCAGTTAGGCATGCAGGGAAGATGTGAGAATTCGTGGAAAGACGTACTCCTCGATTTTATTTGTTCTTAACAACTGCGACTCATCGCACCAGTAAATGACATATGTACGTTCAGTGCTCACGTTAATTCTAGGTAGAGACATGCTATGGTAAATATTATTTTTGACTGATTGAAAAGTCTTGATAGGGTGCGGGAAAAGTGCGGGATCTTCGAAGTCTCCCTAAAGAGATTCGAACTGTTGTGGTCATCTAATATCCACAAACTGTTTTAAACCATGTCAGTCTCTGAGGAAAGCGATACCGTCAAAAAGTTAGCTAACAAAGTTTTAATATCAACCTCGTGAGAGGGGTCCGGGAACTTCTTCCCTAACACGGCGTCGCACACGCCGCACCCGCCGCCTATCGCAGGATTGCGATGAAAGATTGGAGCGCGCAATTTGTGAAGTAGGGAGTCCTTTAATCATTTGAATTGGCTGGTCGCTCCCTTCAATTTCAATGCGGTATTGATCGTCGTTTATATAAGAGGAGTCATTTTAATTAATCAAGTCTAATAAACATGAAAACTAAAAAGAAACAGAAGAAAAAACGATAAAACCCAATGAAAAAGCAAGCCAGTCAAGGAAAAATATCGCGTCCTATCGATTTTCGGGAGGCGAGGTGAGTACGGTAATTGCAGTGACATTTGCCGCATGCCGCAAGGGAGAATGCCGCGATAGGGGAGAAGTTCCGTTACCCCCCGTCACACAGAGTCCGCTTCCCTTTGAGAGGAATTGTTTCCTTCTTTGAAAATGAAGTTGCAACAAGTTTAGAGAATTAATCTCATCACTTTCA